CCTTGGCTTAAAAAGAAAAGCAAAGCAAGCCTCAAAGGCTTCAGATTCCTAAAAAGCAGTGTGCATTTCCTGGAGAAAATATCAGCTTTGTAATTCAGCTTCAAAGATATTTGTGGAACGGAATTTGCAAACTCTATAATTCTTGTAAGACTGAAAAATATTCATATCTTCATTACTTCAAGAAAATAATAATTACTTCATTAAAGGTTTCGAGACCAAAACGTGTTCATTTTTTATCAAATAAATAAATACATCAACTTAAGCCCATCATATAACAAAAGCAAGTCCATGATCATATCAGACTCTCTAAAATCAGCTGTGATTAAACAACAGGTCTGTTGTGAAGTTGGGTGTGTCAGGCGGTGTAAACCACACCCTCTGAATGTCACTCATTTGACTCAGTTTAAATGAGTCTTGTTTCTCTCACAGAGGGCGTTGCAGTCACACAGTGAAGTCACGTCAATGCAAAATGAACACAACGCTCTGAAGTAACCAGGGATGCTTTATTTGGAAGACTCAAAAGACACATTTCTGTAGTGTTTCAGATCCAAAGGAACTTTCTTCAGTATCTGTGACTGTCATTTAAATCGTCACCATGGGTGATGTGATTTCTACCAACCTGGACGAAGGCAAACGGGAGATGATTAAAGGTAAAACGCGTTTGTGTTACTTTTAAAAGGGAAAAAGTCATTATTTGTACAATAGAGCTAGCGTACTTTAAAAGAGGACTGTTTAAAAGAGATGGGTTTAGTTAGCGTGGATACACCATCCACAAATCTTTAAGATATTTTTAGCAGACGCGTGTACACCGAAGAAACCCGGACGCATTCGCGCGCTCAAAAACAACAGTGGTATGAGACGGAACGCAGGAGTCGAGATGCGTTTTTCACTCAGAAAAAAAAAATCAAAATGTCATCATTTACCCAGACTGTCGTTTTGTAATTTTCTTCCTAACTGCTTTTTATGTTCTACGGAAAGAATAAAGTCAAACAGGTTTATACAAGTTCACAAGGTTGAGTAAATCACAACAAATGTATTTGACGCGCGTCCTAAAAAACGCGACGCAACACAGACGAATATGTGTTCAATAACCAACAATTAAAAGTAACTCAGACTGAACCTAAGAACGCGTCGCGTTTAAACGCCCCCTAAAGCCTGAAGTATAGCCTACACATGCAGATTTAAGGCAGGCAGCATTGAGTAATACGTATTTGTATTAAAAACATTTTTGATATTACTAATCCTATTTTGAATTGATGTTTTTGCACTGTATAAACGTTTTAGGCGTTTACCGTTCTGGCAAAAACAGTTTTGCCAACTCTACTTTTTTTGAGTATCCTTGGTATGTTTAATAGTAGGCCTACTTTTGTGTTCACAAATTATATTTTCTGCTATAACTCTAATAATAAGATGGTAAAATGGAAAAAATGTCCTTCCATTGTGTGCCCATGAAGCTTCTACTAAGTATTTTTGCTGCATTATGCTTCCTCTAGTCTAGTTGGTTTGGAGAACTGGTTATATCCTCTACCTGTAAAGACACCCTTCATAACTATATATTAGTTCCTCTCCAAAACATGATGGGAAATAATCACGTTCCTTTAAAAGAACATGCTTTTGCAATTAAAGAGCTTTAAGGTGTGGAATACCGCAATTATGTTTACAACATTGGCTTTTTGAGTTTTCCTAGAAACTAACAGGAACATTTCATAGCTATCCAGTGTGACCAATCTGACACGTGGGAAATGAAATGTTACCAGTCCATAATTTGTGACGTCAAGTAGTGGTTACTGTGTTTTGGATCTGCTTCTCGTCTTTTTCCCCTCATGTCAATCATAGAAAGTATCTCTGGATGGAAACGACTTGATAAATATAGCCTAAGTGTTAATTTAAAACAATCTTCAGTTGTGGAAAACTGTTGAAAAACCAGTTTGAGTGAAATGAACCATGTGAGATAATTTCCTAACGTTATTATGAGAAAACAACAGCTCTTTTGGCTGTGACTGGAAATTTTGGATCACCGCAACCTTGTATGTACACACACACATACTCTAAGAACAAGTCAGGACTGGTTAAGAAGTATAGGTTTCATTGTGTGTGTTTGAAGTACCAGTCCGGATCTTTCACTGATGATAGGCTTGAGTCACTTGGTGAGCTGGCACTTGATGAAGTGATCGTCTTGTTCTGAGTTCATTTCAGAGAAATATTTAATTTCTGTGAAATGAATTCAGGTGGATCTCATGCAGACGTGTATGCTGATGTCATAAAATGCTGAGTGTATCTGCTGAGTCAGCCCTTTTGAAATTCCACCACTGTTTAGTAATGAACTGTGGGAAGATGTTTGGTCTTCACAAGAGAAGGCCGCCCTCATAGACTCTCCCTTTATGAAGCCTGAAGCAGTTATGAAGATGTTTGTGGTAGATGGACAGGAGGTCAGGAGGTTGAAGGGAGGTTTGAACACAGGAAATTCCTCTAGGGATCTCTAGACCTCCCTTGTGAACTATTTGGCTAATAGGGCTGGATGTTTTCTGAGAGAGTGAGAGCAAGTATGAACAGGTCTTGGAGTAATGGGGAGGATCTTCTCAAGGTGTCATCATGCTCTCACACCTTTGTTTTATCTGTCTCCCCCATATCTTTCCCTCCCTTCCCCAGTTTCATAGACTGTGAAGGGTTCATCTGCTGACTGTGCATGTGGGAGGGGATGTTTGTCAGCTTTTGGTCTTTTACAGTCTCTATGGTCAGTGAATAGATAGCTTTGACTTGTAGAATTCAACTTTTTAAACTTGTCACTAAGGTAAAATAATCTAAGTGGCAGTTAAAGTTTTGTTGAAATTGCAAGAATGTCTTAGGGAAGTGTTGGTATCAATAAATGTCTTATGATATTGTTTTTTATTAAAAGTGTCTGAAGTATGATAATGACTTTCTTGGTGTCTTGTCTAAAAATAGTTATTGCAAATGTTCTTTGTAAAGAAAAATAAACCTTGGAAGAAAAGAGAAATTCTAATGAAAATATATAAATAAAAAAATAGGTTAAAAAAATATAAATAAAATTTTCTAATTTGAAAGATTATATATAAAGTCTAAAATAAATACATTTACATCCTAATATTTAAACTTTTCAAAGACAGCTATTTATTTTTTATGTATATAGACCCAATTTATACTATAACATGAATAATTTGAAAGTGTAAATTTTATTTGGGAAATATTTAGTTTCTATTATGTTACATTATTAATTTTTTCTACTCATAGTACTGTGCTGTTAGGGTTAAGTACTGGTTTATTATATTTAATGTATTATTTTTTTATATTTAGTTATTTTAATCAATTTTTTTTGTTTACTCTTAGTTTTTTTTTTAAACAGTGTTTTTCTCAGTTTTTCCATGGACCTCCTAGGATTCTCATGCAGCCACCTGGGGGTCCAAGATTGAAAACCCCAGCTCTAATGCCTTTTAACACGCTCCGAGTGAAACCCATCTTAAGATGTGATGAGTGACGTGATGTGCGGTGTTCACAACAGCATTACATTACAGGGTTTATGTTGATAAGAAGTTTGCTAGCGAATCGTCGCCAGCACCTGTTCCACCTGTGCCAACTGAGCGTCTAGAAGCACTCTCTGCAAATATACATGTGAATGAATACAGTGGAATAGTCCACACTGAGCCAAAGCAAACGGAGTCTACAAGTTATTCTAGTTTAGTACAATAGTGGGTCTGCTAGAGAACGGTCTGCCCTCACAGACACACCGGCTGCTGCATTCATGCAATCACAACAACATGATTTTCATTCAAATGTCCTGTAACAAGAAGCTCCTAATCTGATGGAGTGCTTGAGAAATGAGGTGTAAGTGAAGAGATTCCTTCCTGTGGAGACCTACTGTAGGCCATGGTACAGTAAACCTGAATACCCAGAAGGCCGTGTGTATTTAGAGTGCTGTACTGTAGACATCAGATGTGGCCCTTCTTCCTTTTACGTTCCTGTCAGGTTGTTCCTTCTTGTTTCTCATGAAAGTATGTCCTTTCACATACATTTAAACACGTGCCAACTTTCATCAGCATCCAAAGGCTAAGGCTCTCGTCATGTTAATATTAAATGCCAAGGATATTGTTTGCTTTAAAACTAGACCACTATGCTTTGAATATGGCATTCAAATGTGATTGCCTCTGATCATGCATCACTTTTTCCATTTATTGGCCTCTTTATGTAAGCAAATTCATCTTAATAGCACCATCTTCTTTTCATAAAGCTTCAATAAGCCTGCAGGCTCGGGTCTTTTCATTTTTGATGTTGATTTTCATACTGTGTCCATGTGTTTCCACACTTGACTGTTTTTGCAA